GGACAGTGGTGCTATCATAGCTCACTGTTACCTTGAATGCTAGGCTCAATCGATCTTCTTACTTCACACTCCCAAGTAACTGTGACTATAGACACGTGTAGTCACATCCAGCTAATTTTTTTTTTTTTTTGGTAGAGATGGGACCTCAGCCGGGCTCAGTGGCTCAGTCTGTAATCCTGCGCCTTGGGAGGCTGAGGTGAGTGGATTGCCTGAGCCCATGGGTTCGAGACCCGCTTGGCAGTGAGACCTCATCTCTACAATAAATCAAAAAATCAACCAGGCGTGGTATCGCGCCCCTGTAGTTCCAGCTACTTGGAAGGCTGAGGTGGAAGGATCGCCAGAGCCCAGCAGGTTGAGGCTGCGGTGGCCGGGAGCGGCCACTGCACTCTAGTCTGGGCGACAGAGTGAGACTCCAACTCAAAAAAAAAAGAGATGGGGCCTCACTATGTTGCATAGACTGGTCTTGAACTCCTTGCCTCAAGTGATCCTCCTGCCTCAGCCTCCCAAAGTGCTGGGATTACAGGTGTGAGCCACTGTGCCTATCTTATTTCCATTTCTTTTGAGATGAAGACTTTAAGTTCAAAAGAGGTTGACTTAATTTGCTCATCATTATAGAACTCAGAAGTGCCAAAACTGGCATTTAAACACTATTTTATTTCAAAATTTAAGTTATTGATGCCCAACTTATAGTTTCATGGTTTAAAGGTCTCCTGAAAAATATTTCATTTTCTAAATTTGAAGAAATCTCCTTTGTAGGCAAAACTCTTAAGAGTTTCCTAACAACTTTATCTCTCAGTAACCGTTGGACAAGAATTAGGGAAGATAGGAAGACAGAGAAAGAGTCAGAGGGGAGAAGCTGCTCTGACAGAGGTAGATGGGCGACGGCAAAGATGAACTTTGCCTTGGTTATTATGCACCTAAGACAGGCCTGCCTTCCAGTTATAATTTTAGATAAACATCTTTACCAAGCATTCTTTAGCTCCATGCCCTTTAGAGAAGGACACTCTGCCTTAATGAGACAAAAAGCTTAAAATTGAAGTAGAAAATGGAATTTGAAATCTTATCCAAGATTGTAGCATACAGTAGTCCTCCCTTATCCATGGGGATATATTCCAAGAGCCAGAACCATGACATGGTTAGTACTGAACCCTCCATTACTGTTTTGTTTTGTTTTGTTTTGTATTGATGAAGTTTGAGTTATAAATTTAGCACAGAAAGAGTAACAACAATAAGTAAACAAAAAATAGAACAATTATAATAATATATTACAGTAAGGGTTATGTGAATGTCTTCTCTCTCTCTTTCTCTCTCTATGTTAAAATATCTTAGTCGGGCTCAATGGCTCAGCCTGTAATCCCGCGCCTTGGGAGGCTGAGGTGAGTGGATTGCCTGAGCCCGCAAGTTTGAGACTTGAGACCTGCCTGGGAAACTTGGTGAGACCACATTTCTACAATAAATCAAAAAATTAGCCCGGCGGGGTAGCGCACGCCTGTAATTCCAGCTACTTGGAAGGCTGAGGCAGAAGGATCACCGGAGCCCCAGCAGGTCGAGGCTGCAGTGGCCGGGAGCAGCCACTGCACTCCAGTCTGGGTGACAGAGTGAGACTCCAACTCAAAAAACAAAAAATAAAAATAAAAAATAAAATGAAATATATTATTGTACTGTAATCACTTACTTTTAGACTGTAGTTGACAGGGAAGGGTAGAGTACTAAAACAACGGAAAGTCGGCCAGGCTCGGTGGCTTAGCCAGTAATCCCAGCACTTTGGTAGGCCGAGGCAAGTGGATTGCCTGAGCCCACAGGTTTGAGACCAGCCCAGGGAACTTGGAGAGACCTCGTCTCTACAATAAATCAAAAATTAGCTAGGCATGGTAGCATGCGCCTGTAGTTCCAACTACTTGGAAGGCTGAGGCCGAAGGATCGCTGGAGCCCAGCAGGTTGAGGCTGCAGTGGCCATGAGCATGCCACTGCAGTTTAACCTGGGCAATGGAATGAGACTCCGACTCAAACAAAACAAAATAAAATAATGGAAAGTGAAACCAGATAAGGAGGTTATTACTATGCCTGCACTCCCCAGGTTCTATCCTCAAGAAATATCTTGACTATTGCTTTTTACTTTTTTTTCTTCTTTTAGGTGAAATCAAGCTATAAAGTTTATATATTTGATGATCTCCTACTTTCTCACTTCCTTCAAAATAAATCAAATAATACATATTTGAGGAACATTTAAAATTTGTTTTTGCTACTGTATTTATCTCAGTTAACTCATGACATTGAATTCATTGTCTCAGTTCCCAATGAAGTGATATTAACAAGGTTTTTAGTATATATGCTGGGCAGGAAAAGATGGGCGAGGGTCACATGGGAGAGAAGTTAAACCCAGTGAGATGGAAATTTTTAGTAGCCTAAGAAAACATCTTGCTACTGAAGCCCCTGTATTCAATGGCAAGGGTTTATTTTATGTAAATATAGATGTCGGCTTACATACTATAATGCATTTGGTAAAAAAAAGTTAATGAAAAAATTATCCTCTAAAATGCATTTGTTAGATTACCTCATTTGTTAACAGCTAATTTTTTGATTTATTGTAGAAATGTGGTCTCACCAAGTTTCCCAGGCTTTCCATAACTTTGTTTTTTCTTAGAGCCTTTGGGTCAATGAAACAGAGCCAGTTACAGTGATATTTCTGCATTTTTTTCTCCTCGCTACTGAGCATGGTTTATGTGGGACTAGCTGTATTTTTTCTTTTTTCCCTCAGATATCTTTTCCTTCTTTCTGGAGCCATTGAGTTTTTCTTCTTTGAATCCCCAGATATCAAGAACTTTCAGAAGAGATAAGTGGTTCTTCTGGTTAGATAACATGCCTTGGTGCTAATCCCCAACCCTTCTTGAATTCAAGTATGTCCTATAGCAAGATTTCTCACTCAGATGCCTGTTTCCTCAAGTGAAACATGTGGGTTTTCTAATTCTGAGTCAGTTCACACTTTGGCTGATGATTGGTGAGATAAATTATCCTTGGAGGAAGAGAACTCTACAAATGTTAAATAATTGTACTATATTAATTAGCCAGGCATGGTGGCACATGCCTGCAGTACCAGCTACTCAGAGGCTTAGGCAAAAGGATCACCTAAGCCCACGAGGTCAAGGCTGCAGTGAACTGTAATCATGCCACTTCACTCCAGCCTGGGCAACAGAGTGAGACCCCAAGTTATATATTTTTTTAATTGTAGTTTATTGTTGAGTAAGGTAAGCTGCTAATTCAAGAGTTAAAGAAAGCAATCAAAGCTGCCTAAAGCATTTGTTGCCTATTTTTAGAGATTGGATCAAGTCATGGAACCAGAGCATATAAATCTAATAATAATAGCTAAGTACTTATTATTTTTTAGTCACTATGTTAAAATGTCTCATATGGATTAGTTTATCTACCTTGTACCAGTATCTTCAGTTAACAAATGAGGTAATTAACCTAAGGGCACTGATTGATAACGGTGACAGGAGAAATAGAACCCAGGACTTTCTAGTTTCAAAACAATTACATTATATTGCTTATAACATAGTTCTTTCCTTTGATCTTTAAGATAAAAAAATTTCATGCCAAGATCATTTAAAAGTTCAGAGAGAACTCTGAAGTAAGAATGCCTGAGTGGCTTTGTCTGTCGCTAGGTATATGTCCCTACACCAAGTTATATAACCTCACCTGTAAAATAATGTGAGTAACTGAGCCTTTTTATAAGGTTGTGAAATAATCCATGTACAGAATATAGACTATTCTCAGTATTTAGTGAGCATTCAAAACATTTTAGGTACTATTAGCAGTTACTTCATGGCAGTATCACTTCTAATCACAATGTTACCACTTTCAGCTGGAAAGCATGCATACAAACAAACACTAATTCACAGGTCCTGTTTGATCTATTGATCCTCACTTGCTGATATAATCAAAATAAAATAATAATAAGGAAATACATCCTCTTCCACAGATAGTTGCCGGGCTTGGTTATAAGATTTAAACATCAGCTATTTCCTTCCAAAGCCATGTTGAATAAACTAATAGTTTATTTGTGTGTATCTTAGGAGAAATTTGAAAGTAGAGTGAAGTAATGGCTCCATTATGCACTTTAAGGGTTGGATTCTGCATAGTCAGTGGGTAGGAAGAATCTGGAGTCATTTCAAGCCATCCTTGTCATTGTATCTATCCTCCTTTTGTATAGGCAGATAAGACCTACGAAAACCTCAAATTAAACAAAGAACAAACAAAAGGAACCATGTGTATTCACATTTGTTTCCAAATAGCCTATGAAAACTACACGGAGCTATGCAACATTAGAGAGAATATGAAAATTTTGGGGGGCTGGTGTCTTTAACAATAACTCCCCTGAATTCAGGTCCCCTAGATCGCCAGGTTCAAGCTACCCTTGAATGTGAATTCCAGCACTGCCACTTAACTAGATGTGTGACCTTAAATATGCCTCTAAGCATCCAGTTCTTCATTGGGTAACTTTAAATGATAGTAGTAATCACCTCACTAGTAGTTGTGGCTTCTAAGAGAATATATGTAATTAGCATAGTGACTGGCATACTATGTTCGCAAAACTTTTGTGTGTGAGGGTGGGCCAAGCGGTACAGCACAAATTTATTCAAATGTGTTTATATAGTGTTTTACAGAAGAAAAAAGTACTCAACATTCAGGTAATCACCTCTATTCTCAGAAGTGCTTCATGAGAAGAAGATGGATTTCTTTCCCCTCCCCCCAATAAAATATTTCTGTGTATACTCCTGGAAATAACTCATTTAGTTACACCAGCTTAGTAAGAATAATCCCTTTATGATCCCAAAACCTCTGCAGAGAAGAGATACTGGCAGAGAATCTGCTCTTCAGTGTGATGCATCCCAACAGAGGTGTAGTGTAAGAGACAGACAAAACGGTGGCTCTTTAGAGAAGAGTGTGTGCCTGGCAGGTGGGCCATGAGGAGAGCCTGGGGGGGGCTGGCTGGGCAGTCCCTAACTTCGCAGTGTGGCCAGCCGGGACTGCGTGGCCTCCAGAGCCTCTTCCTCCTCGTCATCATCTGAGGCTGCCATGGCTCCTGGAGGTTCAGGTTCTAGAAGGGCATCGGTCACTTTATTGGGTGCTTTGCCCAAGACTTCTGCCTTAATTTCAAACATAATTTTGTTGATTTCCATTTCTGCTTCTTCCTCCATTTCTTCCTGATCATCCATGCTTTCAAAAATGTCCTCTAACACCTCCTCTATGATCCCTCTATCATCTGTTTGGACAGCTTTCATATGGTGACCTGGATTTCTGGGATCTTTATAAGACTTTGCATGGCCTTCGTCACCTCTGTGCTCTTCTGCAGGGAACCAGCCACTCACAGGACCACGAGCTGGTTCTTCATGCCCATGAACACCAAGTTCATGTGTACTTTGGATGCGTACAGCTTGCTCACACCCTTTCTGGACCCTATCATCTCCTTAGACAGAACTACACAGACATCCTTCTGGCCTTTCTTGGCAGCATCTTTCAAAGATCGTTTCACTTTTTCTTCTTCTCTTTGTATATCTCTTATTTGCCTGTCAACAGCTCTCATTTCCTTTCTTATCTTCAATGACCATTCAATGACTAGCTCTTTGGGTGGCTTCTCCTGAGTTTTCCCAAACAGCCCCATGGTGAACTGAACTCGCCTTGCCCCTTCCAGCTTTCCGTTCAAAAAATTTTAACAATTATAATTTTATGAGTATTCTTATTGCTTTTTTCACTCAGAATTGAATACAACTATAATTTTAGCATGTTTTTTGATTCTGCATGGTATTTAAAAGGTTAAAAAAAAGACAATAAACCATGTTCCATAAAAGTTAATCTATTAAGGATGGCAAGAAGATACATATTTGGCTTGCAAAAATCTTATAGTTCCTTAAATTCCAGATAATAAAAGTCAACTTTAGTGCTAAGTTTTTTAATCATACAAAATCATCACACCATCAAATAATATTTGTGAATTGCCTTCATGAGCATGGTATCATGTTGGTTGCTAAAATACAATTGATAACGATATAATGCACAAGCGGCATTTTTCAAGGTTTTAAATGTGGTTGTGAACAAATTAATTTTAATCTTCAATTTTTTTTTTTTTGAGTTGGAGTCTCAGTCCATCGCCCAGGCTAGAGGGCATTAGCACACTCACGGCCACCCCAGCATCGACCTGCTGGGCTCCAGCGATCCTTCCACCTCAACCTTCCAAGTAGCCAGAACTACAGGCGCGCTACCACGCCCAGCTAATTTTTTGATTTATTGTAAAAGAGACGAGGTCTTGCCAAATTTCCCAGTCTGATCTCGAACCTGTGGTCTCAGGCAATCCACTCGCCTAGGCCTCCCAAAGTGCTGGGATTACAGGCTGAGCCACCAAGCCTGGCCTCAAATCTTTTTAAAAGAATAGGAAGCTTATTCTTGTAAAGGCATAGTTTTAAGGGACCAGATTCAGATAACAAGCCAGAAGGAAACTGAATTCTTCTAATGCCCAAGTATATATCCTAACCAGATTTTATCAGTATTTAGGAACATCATATAGTTTATGTACCTTCTATTTACTTTTTTTAAAAATGTTTTATTTTAAATATGTGGGGTACAATTCAGGGTTAGGTATACAAATGTTCATTATGTAGGTACCCTTGTTGATGAAGTATGTCCCTCCCCCTGGCAGTTTCCCACTACTGCCCATCCTGCCCCTGTCCTCCCCTGGCAGTTTCCCACTACTGCCAATCCCTTTCTTATAGTACTATGATAGTTTTTCAAGGTCCATTAGTGAGTGAGAACATGTGACACTCAGTTCTTTGCTTCTGTGATAGATCACTCAGTATTATAGCCTCTAAGTTCTTGCAAGTTGCTGAGAAGTTCATAATTTTGTCCTTCTTTATGGCTGCATAATATTCCATCATGTATATGTACCACATGTTTTTTATTCAATGTTCTTTCAAGGGACAGCACGGTTGACACCATGTTTTTGCTATTGTGGATAATCCTGCAATAAACCTGCATGTGCAGGTATCTTTTTCATAGAGTGATTTGAGTTCCTCCAGGTATATTCTCAGTAGGAGGATTGCAGTCATATGGGAGTCGATTTTTAGATCTTTTAGAAATCGCCACACTGTTTTACAAAGAGGCTGTACTAGTTCACATCCCCACCAACAGTGTTGGTGCCACATCCTTTCCAGCATCTGTGGTTTTTGAGTTATTGATGATGGCCATCCTGACTGGAGTTAGGTGGTATCTCAATGTGGTTTTCCTTTGCATTTCTTTGATGACTAGTGAGGCTTGAGCATTTTTTCATGTATCTGTTGGCTGCTCGTGTGTCATCTTTTGAGAAGTGTCTATTCATATCTTTTACCCACTTTGTAATGGGACTGTTTTCTTGTTTTGTTTTTTTTTTACTTTTTGGCACGTTTGAGTTCCTTTTAGGTACTAGATGTTAGGCCTTTGTCAGATAAACAGTTGACAAATATTTTTTCACAGTCTGTGGGTTGTCTCCCTATTCTCTCAATGATTTCTTTGGCTTTGCCGAAGCTTCTCAGTTTGATGAGGTTCCACTTGTCTGTCTTATCTCCTATGGCATGGCCCCTTGGGGTTTTGATCAGGAATTTGTTGCCAATTCCTATTTCTATAAGGGTATCTCTTGCATTTTCTAAGGTTCTTCTAGTCTGAGGTTTTATATTTAGGTCTTTGATTTATTTAGAGCTCATTTTTGTGTATGGTGATAGCTAGGAGTCTTGTTTTAATCTTCTGCATGTGGTCAACCAGTTTTCCCAGCACCATTTACTGAATAGGTTCTCCTCACCCCAGTGGCTGGCTTTGTCAAACATGAGTTGGTTGAGAAACTGAGGTTCTGCTTCTGGAATCTCTAACCTTTTCCACTGGTCTATATGCCTGTTCTTGTACCAATACCAGGCTGTTTTGATTACTGTAGATTTATAATAAAGCTTAAAGTCTGGGAGTGCGATGCCTCCCATTTTTTTGCTGAACATTGTTTTGGCTATTCGTGGCCTTTATGTTTCCATATGAATTCCTGTGTTGTCATTTCCAGGTCTAAGAAGAATGCTGTTGGTAATTTAATGGGTATTGCAGTAAATCTGTAGATAGCCTTGGGTAGGATGGACATCTAAACAATGTTGATTCTTCTAATCCATGAGCATGGAATGTTTTTCCATTTGTTTGTGTCATCTTTGATTTCTTTGAGCAGTGTTTTGTAGTTTTCATTGTAAAGGTCTTTGATTTCTATGGTGAGGAAGATGCCAAGGTATTTCATTTTTTGTGTGCGTGACTACTGTGAATGACCTTGTGCTTTTTATTTGGGTTTCCATTTGTTTATTGTTGGTGTATAGGAATGCAACTGACTTTTGCACATTTATTTCATAGCCTGAGACTTTGCCAAAGTCATTTATCAGTGCAAGGAGATTTTGACAGATCCTCTTGGGTTTTCAAGGTATATAGTCATGTCGTCTTCAAAGAAGGATAATGTCTTCTTTTCCTATTTGGATACCCCTGATCTTCTTCTCTTGTCTGATTGCTCTTGTCTGATTGCTCTAGCTAGAACTTCCAATACCATGTTGAATAGCGGGCGTGAGGGTAGGCGTTTTTGTCTTTTTCCAGTTTTCAGGGGAAATGGTTCCAATTTCTGTCTGTTTAGCAGTAAACTGGCTGTGAGTTTCCTGTAGATGGCTCTTACTATTTTGAGGTATGTTCCATCTGTGTCTAGATGTTCGAGGGTTTTTATCAAGAAGTGGTGGTAAATTGTATCAAAAGCTTTTTCCACATCTAATGATAAAATCATGTGGTTTTTTGTCTTTACAACTGTTGATGTATTTAAGTATGTTTATGGTGTTGTGGATTTTGAACCAGCCCTGTATCCCAGGGATGAAGCCTACTTGGTCATGGTGGATGATTTTTGAGATGTATTGTTGGATCCTGTTTGCTAGAATCTTGTTGAGAATTTTAGCATCTATATTCATCAAGGATATTGCACTCTAGTTCTCTTTCTTTGTTGGATCTTTACCCAGTTTGGATATCAATGTGATGTTAGTTTCTTAAAATGATTTGGAGAGAGTTTCGTCCTTCTCAATTGCCAGGAATACTTTTAATAGGATTGGTATCAGCTCCTCCTTGTATGTTTTGTAGAATTCTGCTGGAAAGTCATCTGGTCCAGGGCTTTTTTTTTTTTTTTTTTTTTTTTTTTGTAGGTAGTTTTCTTATGACATAGTCGACTTCCTGGGTTGTTATTGTTTTATTTAGGTCTCGATTTCTTCTTGTTTCAACTTGAAGAGGTTGTGTGATGTCAGAGATTCCTCCATTTCATTTAAGTTTTCGAGTGTGTTTCCATACAGGTGTACATAGTAATCTCTGACAATCTTTTGTATATCTTTGGGGTCAGTTGTAACTTCATCTTTTGCATTTCTGATTGTGTTTATTTGGGCGTTTTCTTGGTCAGACTAGCTAGAGGTCCATCAATCTTGTTTATCCTTTCAAAAACCCAGCTTTTGCTTTCATTGATTTCTTGGATTCTATTTTTGTCTTCTATGGCCCATATTTGAGCTTTTATTTTAATGGTCTGAATTCTTCCACTGAAGTTAGGAATTTGATGGTCTTGCTTTTCCAACATCCTTAGGTGATTGTTAGGCTGTTAATTTGTAGTCTTTCCATGTTCTTCATGTGTGTTCATAGAAATATGAATTTCCCTCTTGGGACTGTTTTCATGGCATTCCAGAGATTTTGGTAAGATGTTTCTTTATTTTCATTTGTTTCCAGGTATCTTTTAACCTCTGTTTTGATTTCCATATTGACACAGGAGTTGTTTAGCATCATGATATATAGTGTCCAAGTATTTGTGGGTTTGGGGGGAACTTTGCTGGTGTCAATGTTTATGTTTATTCCACTGTGATGAGAAGGTGCATGGCAGAAATTCAATATTATGGAATTTGTTTATGCTTGATTTATGGCCAAGGATGTGGTCAATCTTAGAGTACATTCCATGTGATGATGAGTTGAGTGTATATCCCATGGTTGTTGGGTGGAGTGTTCCCATGGTTGTTGGGTGGAGTGTTCTGTAGGTGTCAATTAAGTTCATTCGGTCAAGTGTCATGCTAAGATTCCTGATCTCATTGTTGACTTTTTGTTTTGAAGATCTGTCTAGGGTTGTTAGTGAGGTGTTTAAGTCCCCAGCTACCATGGTGCTAGAGTCAATTTCTTTTTTTAGTTTACCTAGAAGCCACTTTATGAAAGTTGGTGCTCCTATGTTTAGGATGAATATCTCTTGTTGATGGATTGAACTCTTTATCATTATGTAGTGACCTTCAGCATCTTTTTTAAGTTTTGATAGCTTAAAGGGTATTTTGCCTGATACTAAGGTCATGACTCCTACTTTCTTTTATGTTCCATTTGCCTGAAGTTTTGTTTCCCATCCTCTGATTTTGAGTCTGTGAGTGTCCTTTCTGATGGAATAAGTCTCTTGGAAACAATATATTACAGTCTCATGATGTTTTATCCCCAATTTGCCATTCTATGTCTTTTCAGTGGTGCATTTAGTCCATTCACATTCAGGCTAATTAGTGAGATGTGAGAGTTTATCCTTGTTATAATGTTCTTATAGAGTTTGTTATTATTGCTACTGTTTGTTTATTTGTTTGTTTTCTTTCTTTTGATTTTTAGGTTGATTC